AAACATTATTATCACTTTAATTAACGGAGACTTGACTTCCCTAGTCCATTGTCTACTTTCTCTTTTTTTTTTTTTTGAGACAACTTGCCTAATTTATCTAAAATTGTAATAAACCCTCTATTGGGCATTGACTAGTATCTCACGCTTGTTCATTGTGCGTAGTTTTTAATATTTTTCATTACAAATCGAAATGGGACTTGCGACCCATCATCGTATTTGACTATTTTATTAATATTTACATTCGTTACCAATTTTATCGCCGACAAATTAACAACCCAATTCCACAATGAGTCTAGTCAAATAAAACCATCATCCAAGAAAAAGTTAAAATATTACTAGTTGATACATGCTTTCTCTTCTCCATTATATTTTAAATGACACAGTAACATGTAGAATTAATTCCATTTTTTGTCCTAGATTTATAGGTGGCAATCCACTTTAACTCATTTTTTATTAGAACATCTACTTTTGGTCCTAGTATTATTGTGACATGATCATTTTTGGTCCTTTATCAACAAAACATTTTAAATATCGTTAAATACAATGGCATTCCGGTCTTCAATAATTATGGGTTTTTTTTCAAAAAAATAAATAAAAAAAATATAGCGGTCCAACCTACTATGTATAAAAAAAGATTGAAATGTCTTTGTTTTAACGACATTTCAACGATTTTGTTGAATGATGAGTAAAAAATGGTCATGCCACAATAATACTTGGACTAAATGAGGATGTTCTAATAAAAAATAACTAAAAGTGGACTATCACCCATAATTCTAAGGACATAATGTTTGCCCCCATTTATTTGTTTAATGAGTGGTATTGGTCATCACATTTAATGGGAGGATGAGTTAAGTTTATCCCTCAACTAATCTATGACCAAAAATGGAATTAACTCGTAATATATATTATTCATGGACGAAACAAATTTATTTTACAAAATTATTACATGGCATAGTAGTATATATTATTCATGGACCTAACAAATTTATTTTACAAAATTACTACAGGAATGAAGTTGGGAATATGTATAAAACAATAATATGGAGACTGGAGAGTGAGATGACCAAACAAATTTCTTTTTCGACATTCGATCTGTATTACAGGAACGTAGCCGGGGAAAAAAGTTTAAAATAGCATTTTGTTGAGAGTGGGATTTGAACCCACGCCCTTTCGGACCAGAACCTTAATCTGGCGCCTTAGACCAACTCGGCCATCTCAACTTATTGATTACAAAATTCGAACTATTATATAGATACGATAGTTTAATCGCCCAATCACACCCCTCTCCCAAACGAAAGCCTTGAGTGGCATATATATATAAAAAAAAAACAATGCTTTTTGCCTCTGAATTTGTTTTACTCTTGTAAATTTGGTCCTGTCAATTGATTTGAACAAACTTAGTCCGTTCACTTTGTCACTTTTAATCCTTGAAGTTATATAATTATAAATTTTATTAAGAAGTCATATATTTTTTAATTACTCTCCACCGTTAAAAATTTATTATCCCCCTTAACGGCATCTTCATTGCATAAATTCCTCATTAATAAATTTTCTATGAACAAATTGCACTTTTGGTCCTGTGAGTATTAGGGTACTGACAATTTGAGTACGTGACTTTCAAAACTCCCAATTTAAACTTTTAACTATGTAATTTTTGGCAGATTTGGTCCTTCGGGTCAAATTGCCGGCCCATTTTGGTCGGAAAAAGATTTAATGCTTCAAATAATTTCTGATGAGGGTAAAAACGTCATTGAGTGAATGTATTTGGGGGGAAAACACCTTCCGGTCAGTTAGTCAACAACACCACTTGCAAATTGGGGGATGTGAAAGTCGATAATGTGAATTCGGTCTTCGTTTCTGCACGCATCTGCTATGGCACCACTTGCAACACCATTTGCTCGAAGCACTGACCCCCGAAAGATTATCAGTGGAGCTCTGTTGCTCCTGGCTGTCGCTTAGAGAGGTCGGGGTCTGGGGATCGAAGTGAGTTGCAAAAGGCGAATTCGGAGAAGTTCTCGAGTCAAATTTTAAGGATCCAATATGCCTAGTAGGTATTGAAGCAATATCGGGATACGAAGAGCATGCAAAATCTGCTCCAGGTATACCATATCCAAAAAATTGATGGGAGTCCATGCTACGAAGTTTGTCACAGTTCAAACATATATCTTTTGTCTTTCTTCACCTGTGAGAAATATATAATTCAGAATTACAACCCTAAACCCTATAAATTAATAATAAGCGCAATCATACATAGCACAAATCAGATAACAAACAAGATTTGAAACTATTAACTTCCAAGAAGAGATCGATGCAATTCGTTGTGGATTGCAGACCATCTAAGATTCAACAAACACCATTCCATATCTGCATGATCTTTCCGGCTTGCGATAGCGACAATGAAGAAAAAAATCAATATTCAAACTCTGCAAAATTCTACCCCTTGACCGACCTATGCGGCATGCGAAGTCTAACCCAATCTCGAAAAGTCCCGTAATATTCGACCAAGAAAATGACAACCCACGCGAATCACAACTTTGAATTTCGGTTCCCCTTTCGATTATCTTTTTCAAACATGCGAAAGAAAAATTCAAAAACAGAACAAAAAAGTGAGCAAATACCTATAGACTGTACTATAGTATTTGCAGAAGAACACTGAATCTCTATCCTCGCAGGAGGAGCTTCGGATTTCCTGTGCGAGTGTTTTAGTGTTTGTAAGTACTATGAAAATTCGGAGAATTTGAGGAATGAAAACCAACCATAGCCACTGCAGTCGAAAGAACAAATGGCTAAGGAGCGAAGCTTCGTGCATATATATAGACGGTCGTGGACGGAGTTGTCCGTACTGTTAAGTGTAACGGTGGTTGACTGAGTAAAGAAATAAATACACTCGCAATGACGTTTTTACCCTCATCATAAATTAATTCGAAGCATTAAATCTTTTTCCGGCTAAAATTGGCCGGCAATTTGGCTCGGAGGATCAAATCTGCCAAAAATTGCATAGTTAAAGGTTTAAATTGGGAGTTTTGAAAGTCACGTACTCAAATTGTCAGTACCCTAATACTCACAGGACCAAAAGTGCAATTTGTTCATTTTCTATTTTCTTCAGAAATAAATTCCTCTCAGACAATCAACGATATAGAGATACGAGAACTAATGGATGCGGTAAGTTAATTTTTGTACTTATTTTATTTTATTTATTCATTGATTCTGTATGCAGGGACTGTGGGGATTAGTTGGATGGATGACGATGAAACAAAGGAGCTTGAATTGAGAAGACGAGCTCTTAAAATGAGTTTCAAATCGAGCTCTCAAACTAAGCTTTGAAAGTTTGAACTCGTGTGCACCGACATGTTTAATTTTCAAGTTGAGAATATTTCGGAGACGAAGAAGTTGAGAATATTTCAAATTGTGGGGGTTACAGTATTAAAGTTTCGAATGCTATTTAGTGCTAATTACTTCGAACTATTCTATGTATACATGTGGATAGGTCTCGTTGAATGTTTGTGTAGTGTACAACATACATCCTTCGTTTTTTTATTTGTCGAAATTAACTAAGGGTGATTAAATTCTTGTAAATTTCAGGAGTTAAAATATTTAACTCCATTTTTTAAGTTGAGAATTTAATATGTAACTGTTTTACCCACATGTGTTATTTTATATTAAGTTGGGGGGTATGAAATTCAAATTTTGAATTCCATTAGTACTAACCAGTCGATGATCCACTTCGAATCGACATAAGTCGTTGAATGTGGATGGTCCTTCTAGTACTTCGAGTACTCTCAACTCCCAAAAAAATTATGTAGTAACTTTTTACTATATTTTTATGTTCCCTTTGTTTAAGTTTGTCGAAAGTAGTATATTTGAGTGCTCGAATTTACTCTTGTAATCCATGGTATCTTCAGAAACTAATGCTTCAACGTTCCTAGCATCCTCGAGATGAAGAAAATCTATTTTAAGAAAAATGTATTTCGCATGCCTTGGATTAACTGTATTATCATGATGTGAATTTTTGAGGAATTTTTATTTTAGAGTTGTGAGAAATATTCTTACACCATTTACCAATTTTGAAAAGTTTGATAGTTAGAGGCTAAATATGAACGGGATGCACTAGTCAAAAGAGCAAAAGTGAAACTTTTTCAAATGAGAAATTTGGCAAAAAGAGACTTTTTTCTAAGAAGATGATGATGAGGAAGGAAAGGCAGTGGCAAGGTGTCTTTGATCTTGAAAAATATATACATGATACATAGCGTTCAATATAAACTACAAACAAGCAAAGCATAATTTAAATTGTGAAAGTGCATAAAGATAATAATAAACATGTTGGAATTTTTAGCTTAAAATAACATTTAAGTAGCTCTTTTATGGTACAAATATATATGAGGTCCACTTCCAATTTGGGTCAGGTCAAAGTGGATTCGCACTACTCTTCGTAGTGAGACGAAAAAAATGATAAATTGTACGCTCAAAACGGATAATGGGTGAATGAGAAATTGATTCTCAAAGTAGACCCATTTGAGTTGGAAATGAAGGTGGAAAGGTTTTGTAAAAAGCACTTGTCCCATATTGGTTTGGGATGTGGGTTTGCACTATTAGGACTCTATGCCTGAGTCCTTTAGGGGGTATAGATGTATGGACTTACAGACTAATAAGATTTACACATGCATGCATGTCTGATTTGATGAAGAAGTTTTTTCTTTTGCTACTAAAACTTCTTTGCAGGATCTATCTATCTCTCATTATGCACCGTGGGCCGAATATGTTCTAAGCCACAGCACCCCAACCATTGCTTCGAATCCCGTGCCCAATGATGAGCTGCCAGAACCACTGCTGATATCTCATTCCGTGCCTGTAACACCCCACTTTTCTAACTCTGAATTACATCTCTAAACAGTCATTAACGTAACTAAGCAGCGGAAAACTAAAAGATAAATAGTGGGAGTGTCACCGCCACAACCACCACTCTTTGGTGATTGCACAGGCTAAAAGGGTAAAACTAGAAATAAGATTAAGTCTGGGTACTAAAATAAATACTGGAAATGTAAGGGGAAAAACGTCACCCCAACATAGTCTACATCAATCCTCAAACATAAAGTCGATAAAACTACAATCCATACATAGCATCAATGGTACTAGAGTTTAGACATCTCTATCTACGAGACTAATCTAACTCGACATCTTCACACTGCTGGGCCCATCTGAAAGGGGTTTTTGCAAGCAACACATAGACAAATAGGAAAGCACCCGTTAGCAAGAAGCTAAGTATAACCACACTCAACCCTGTAAAGCATTCTAGCATATACTTTGAAAACATTTGATATCTTTATAGCAATAAACTAATCTCAAATCATCTTTAGATTATCATACTCTTTCTAGATGCTTGCACCCTATAATATCAGCTGGTATGCTTATGTATGTACAAGACTGTTCACATAGATTCAACAGCTTATAAACTTCTCAGATAACATAACAAGCAACTCATGCTTACGGATTGGATCATGTTAAAAGACCATATAACATGTGTTTACATGCTTTCACATTCTTATCACATAACTTGATAAGTAGAGCTTCTAATACAACACAATAATTATGCTCAAAGGAATATCTTAAGTCAAACTTCTTGTTATACAATCTCTTACGATGCTCTATTCGCATGCAATCACGTATAACATTATGATCATACTTCTTATGCAATCTAGTGCAACAATATACTCATACTCATGTGCAATCTCGTGCAATTATATAATCATACTCTTATGCAATCTAGTGCAACAATATACTCATATGCAATCTAGTGCAACAATATAATCATACTCTTATGCAATCTAGTGCAACAATATACTCATACTCATATGCAATCTGGTGCAACAATATAATCATACTCTTATGCAATCTAGTGCAACAATACACTCATACTCATATGCAATCTCGTGCAACAATATAATCATACTCTTATGCAATCTAGTGCAACAATATACTCATACTCATGTGCAATCTAGTGCAACGATATACTCATACTCATATGCAATCTAGTGCAATAATATACACATACACTCTCTTTATAAATTAGAGTACATTCTGTGGAGGTCTATCTAATTTGTTACATTCTCGAGTCTCTCTTGACTTTCTTTCTTTCTCTCGAGTGCTTATTGACTCTCTTTCTTGAGTCTCTGTTGACTCTCTTTCTTTCTCTTATACTTGTAGACGGCTTAGGGTTTCACAGAAGTGTGAATTACCCCATCGGGAACGGCTTAATCCCGACCCAATATCTCCTACCGTCTACGGAACCAATCTCGTGGTTCAAACTCTGTGGAATCATGTATCGAACTATTAGTGTGCACACCCCCTAACCAGGATTCCAAGCCTGGCGGGAAGTTTCCAACCTCGTAACGTGAGAATACGCCGTGTTACATATACTGGGACCGCAATGTCCATAAATATCTCCCGAGAGGAACATAGTCCAAACGGTATCCTCCAAAACCTCACCGATGTAGATAATACATAAATATATCTCTCATACATGCAACAATTCTACTACTCCTCAATGCATCAAAGAATGATATACCACATGCTTATGGTTTTTGAAAGTATTCTTGGGCTCACGTTGGCCCCTTATGCATTTTTGAAATATGACTCATGTGAAATGTCAAAATGCTCTATAACATGCTTCTAAATCATGTATAAACTAACATGAAGTATTCAAGAATATATCATCATGCTCGGTTTGCGACATAGCAATTTCTATATAATTCACTCAACAAAAATGCTTCTATTCTCATTGATCAAATAACGCAATTTAATCATACATTCATAATAAATCATATTCTCAAATGATCATGCTTCTTTACTCAATAAAATATCATCAGATCACAATAATCAAATAATTCTTCATACACAGTAAACTAGCAAATATACACTGTGTAGCAATTCTTCACAAATTCCTTCATAACATACTCGTTTTTAATCCAAAGTCAACGAAATCAAAGCCAAAACGTGCGTCGAGACGATCCCGAAGAGCCGAGCCACAAGGGCCTGTAACACTCGGTTCGAAACGACACGTGGCTGAGCCACAAGGGCCCGGCCACTACACGAGCAAACACCAACGGAGAACTCAAACACAAAACTTTAGCCTTTCTACACATTCTTATCTTTATAACAATGACTTCACAGAGTGAAAAAGAGATTGAGAAATCATGGGGTTATATACTTTGTAGATCAAAAGTTCTTGGTAAAATCTTTCTAGGGATACATAGTATTTCTCAAAATATACGATGTTACTAACTAAGTATTTTTAGGAAAATAATAGAATAAGATCCAAATATCTTTGTGATCAAATATATATCTCATACATAGTTATATATGTATATATTCTCAAATTCAAGTATAACATTCCCCAAAACATATATACTCATATATATAATTCTTGAAATAGAGCTTTCTTGGCAAATCATAGCTTTTGGTAGATCAAAATCCTTCTCAACATATTTATGATTTTCTTAGGAAAATACTTTTATATATGAATAATCCTTCAAGCCTAAGTAATATAATATATATTCCAAGATAATTTCTCAAAGGTTGGAATAGTTTAAGTGGAAGAGGCTTGGATTATTAGAAAAAGGATTAGGGGTTTTGAATCCCATCTTAAACAAATTTTCCAAAACAATTAAACACTAAAGTCTAAAACTAAGCATCAATGCTAGGCGCAAGAATCGACCCTGGGACCTCTTGATTTTTGACTAACGCTCGAACCAGTAGCCTACCACGGACCATAGTGACAAATCTTTTCAAGATCCTCCTTATAGTCCGTGACACCAGCGGGCCATGGTGGCGGATCTTGCCTAGATCCGTCCCATGGTCCGTGAATCTCCCAGAACTGGGTTCTGCAACTCTCTGTTTCCCGTCTCTTAACAATACAGATCAATTCAACAACAAACAACTTACATTTCATCATTTTAGGCACCCAAAACACATTTGAACAACTAAAACACATATCTTACGGCAAAATGTTAGATTTGGGAATCCATGGGTTATACCTTGAGCATCCTTGATCTAGCCAAAACCATGTCTAAACTCTTCTTCTTCACCCTTCATCTTCCTTCTCCAAACCAAAACATAGCAACAACTTCACCATTTCCACTCACAAGCACACAAACAAACCCACATAAATACATCATCTTATCAACTTAAACTAGAGAATGGAATGGAAGAAGAGAGGAGGTAGCTTACAAATCTTGGACCTAGGTTTTTGGAAGATGAAGCTTCAAAGATGGAGGAGGAAAATATATCAGGGAGAGAGAGAGAGAGATGGTGCTGCTGATTTCTATTGAATGAATAGTGTTCAAGGAAAAAGCTACTTCTTATACTTGGGGTTTGGGGGTAAAAATGTAAAGTAAAATTGTAGGGTTCACCTTGCATCATGAACCATAGTCTAGAAAGATGATTTTTGAATAACTTGGGGTCAAAATGTATTTTTCCAAAAAGATTTCCAAACAACCACTTGGTTCAGATTTCTCCCGGCCTCACTCAGATTGGTTTCTCAGTTTAAATCTTGGTACGCAAAGTACCTGAAAACTTGGGATTTTAAATTTAAAATAAATCCCGATGTTGAATTTTCTTAAAAGTGGCTCAAAATAATTTATTCAACACCAATTTCATCGCAAAAATTTTTACAGGGTGGAAAATGGCTATTTCAGAATTTCTTAAAATTTGGATTTATGAAATTAAATTTTGGGTTGTTACACTCTATCCCCCTTAAAGGAAGTTTCGTCCCGGAACTTAGAAGGAACGGACGAATTTTCTCAAACAGAAGCTTTCGAAAAGATGGTAAGAATTTCACGAATTGGCTTAGAAGTTCTCTTGGAATACTAAGAAGAAATGGAATCTCTGAATTCCAAACAGGCACCCAAATAACTAAGGCGCTAAGCTCAATCTAACTACTAGAACTCACTAACCCAAAGTTTCTTTGTTACTCCTCTTATTCTTATCGTTCTTACCACTTCTTCAATCTCAACACTAAGTTTTTTTTCTTTCTGTTCTCCCACAACTTATCATTTCTTACTTAATTCAATTCTAAATTTCTCAATCTTCATAAGATCACAAACCTCCTTACATATTTTATTCTCATCTTCATATATCTCACAAGCCAAAAGGCATTGTCAATCATCTTAGGCTTCATTTCTTTCGGAGTTCACAACTCTTGTCTCATCCGTTTACTATTTCTTCAAAGATAGAAGGAATCATCTTCACGTTTATTCAATCCATCCTTAAGTCCAATTTCTCGGTGCTTCAAGTTTTACTTTTAACCTTCGGGTTTAATATTTGAAATTCTCTTCACCATTGCTCTCAAAAGCATCTACTTGGGTGGCTTCGACTTCTTCTTACTGCATAAACATTTACATTTGTCTTCCTTCTGGTTGCATCAGCATTCACACTTGTCTCTTCTTCACGATTGAGAACCTTTAAACCTTCGTCTTTAAGCTCTCGTTGCTTCTTTTCCTTCATATTTATCTCCAGTTGTACGAAGATTCTCTCCAGCTTTTGGGGTTTGCTTAAGTCATGCAGATGATGCTGCACGTGTGAGGGTGCCTCTCTTTTCAAGCAAGGACTGCTACAACTGGCTCCAAGCCGCACGTGGAGTAACCTTCTTCATCACGTTCTTCGGTTGGCTAGATAAGCACGCTACTACTTCACTTTTACGCAACAAAAGATATAACTACTTCTAACTTTCTTTTCTCAAAAGCAAAGATCACACAAGCAAAGCACACCAACATGATATAAGCATAACTCTTATACTTATCACATTAACAACTTAACTTTCAACTTTTAATTCTTCAACTTTACAAAGGTAGCAACAAGGCTAAACGAGGCAACTGCTGAACTAACAAACTTGATTTCACCAGATAGGTATGCACTTGATTTGAAGGAATTTGACTTCACCAAGGAAGAAAGGAAAAGGTTTCTAACGTTGAAACTTGAGGGTACTACTGGTTATAACCAAAGTCCTGATTATCAATTCCAAGATTTTCGAAGATTCAACAAGGTCTTGTGAAACAAAACTTATGGATCGAATTCCAAGAGAAGGACACCACAAAGAATAATCTCAATGAGATAACTCAATACTAATGGGGTTCCAAATAAAAGATGTAATAAGGATTTAATCTCAAAACAATAGAATCAACACTAGTGGATTCCAAATGAAGGTATAAAAGAGAGATGATCTAGAATCAATAGCTCAATAGTTCAATTGCTCAATAGCTCAATAACAAAGAAAGAATGCTACACTGGACGATCTCAATACTATAGCAACTTGATCCGAGTGTACAAAAGAACACATGGTCAATAAAATAGCTCTTTAATAACAAAACACTTTCAAGAATACTCAATAGATACAAGCTCATAGGAATTACTCAACAAATATGGATTCCAACGGCATAACAACAACGAATAGATCTTGGCTCAACGTCTCAATAGATTCCAACAATATGGATTTCAAGGGATATAAGCTTAATTCAATACAATGAGATCCCAAGAATAAGGCTTTCAACAAGATTTTACTAGCTTCAAGATTCAATTATACTAGCATTGCAAGTCAACGGAAGCTTACAAGAATACTTAGAAGGAATTTATAAGCATTCTAGATACAGATTCAACAATAAATCGTGGAATGTCAAGAATAGACATTAGCAAGGATTCAAGGCTCAACTCAAACAAAACAACTTCTCATTCTCAACTCTAGACATTAGATAGCTTCGATAGATATTGAAAGCAAACTAAAAGTAGTCATAATGACTTAGGGATCAATATCAAGCTACGAGAAAATTTCTAGAAGCATAAGCTCAAACTCGATGATAGAATTTCAAGAATTATCATGCCATTAACAACAAGGGATTTGGAATGGAAGTTTGGCACAATGAGCACAACAAGATACTCAGGAATTAACTACTTTTAACTTCTCTATTCTTTAAGCAAGGCTTACAACAAGTAAGACACATAAACAAGAATCAAGTATAAGCTCTTATACTTTTCACACAAGCAACTTTTACAAAACTTCCACTTTCAAACTTTAGCTTTCAAAGTCTCAACTTCTAGCTTTTCACTTTCAACATTGGAACTCTTGGTTTTTCTCTTTCAACTTCTCACTTTTAACTTCTCATTGAAAACTTCTCTGTTTCACTTTCAAAGGATATAAACAAGCACTTTAAACACATTGATAAAGCACAAAACATATAAGCAATCACAAAGGAACTCACGACCTCACCGCGTTCCTAACTGATACTTGGTTAGGGAGTAGCCACAGCATCCTTAATCAGTTAAAATTATATAGGTTAGGCAAGGAATAGATAATTGTCTAGTGATCTTATAATTTTAATTTGGTTCGGGAGTAGCCACATCATCCTTAATCTGTTAAAATTATATATTAAGCGGTTTATTTTGATCACATAAAGTTTTTGACATATCATTTGTGATTAATTGTATGTAATATGATGGAATTTAGCCCACAGACAATTTCGTTATATTTGTATAATTAATCAGGATGAAATACTGGACTACGGTCATAATTTAGCCCACATGCAATTATGTATCGGAATGTAGTTTAGTAGTTTTATCAGTGATGATAGAAATAAATCAATTTATTTACTTTATGGTTATTTGTAAATAATTTCCAATTCTATCATGAAGTTTAGTTTTATGATGTAAACTTTAGATCATATTTCTTAATTTGCCCACAGGGATTAAGGAAAGGAACATGATTTCTTAAGGTTTTATCATAATGGTTGTAATAAATCTTATTGAGTAAAACTTTAGCCTACATGCAAGTTTTATGTCATTTGAGTCTTCAACTCATTTGATAATTGTTTCATCATAAATAAAATTTTTCAGTTGGATCTAATAGCCCACAGGCAAGTTTTATGTCACTAGATTCTTCTGCCTCTTTAGTAATTGTGAAAAATATTATCATAAGGGTTTCTTAATTGGATTTAATAGAATTAAAACTTTAGCCCATAGGCAAGTTTTATGTCAATAAATCCCTTAACCCATTAGATAATAATTTTATCACAATTCTTAGAATTTATAAATTTAGCTCAATTATAATCCTAAGTTTCATGATTTGCATTGGCAAAACATGTTTTCAGTTACTTCCCAAAATTTAGCCACTTTTATTAATTAATCCACAAATCTTGCTTGGATCTTCAGACTAACTGTAGTAAGTTACGTGATTTGACATACCTCTTGAATTCCAATAATGATAAAATGTATCTTTTGAGCCAAATTCTAACTTGGTTTTGGAAGGTGTATTTTGTTTTTTTTAGTATGTCCAACTATGGTGGGGAATTATATCTTCATTATTTAGTTGGACATTAATTGGAATCAAAAATTGATTATTTAGTATGTCCAACTAATGGTGGGGAATTATATCTTCATTTGTTAGTTAGTCAAATCAATTATGAGTATGCATGTTATTAAGTTCATTTATTAATTTCGCTGAAGAATATTTTAATTAGTGGGAGTGATCATTTAGAAAAAGATCATTAAGATGCTCCACTAAAGGTTATGGATTTAATTATTGTCTTCATACATTCCAAATTGGGTTGTATGTTAAACAATAAGTCCAAAAGATTCCACAAGTATTAATCTTGCATTTGTTCATATAAATTCATAAGTTCAAATTACTGAACATTTGGTTGTGCAACATATTTATGAAAATGTTGTAACAATATTAAGGAATTTATTAGAACAAAAGCATTTAACTTGTGGTGCACTGTCATTTAATAAATTCTTCAGTGGTTAATAGAGTCTTTAGTTTCTTCAAAATTGATCCTGGGCCATTTTGGTTTGTAAGGCTCAAAACAATTTTGTGGGACATATAAGTAAGACTCATTATGTTCAGTTCATTTAAAATGGACGACATTGAAGTTATTTGGAAAGTTATGGTGTATGATTAAGATTCTAAATTTATGGACTTAGACGTTTGGTTTATTGTCTAAGTTATTGGAATACTTCTTTGACTTGACTATCTTTTGGTTATTTTTGATGAGTGGGAGTGACAGACGTGTCAACTCCAAGCCCTTAGCTGTTAGAGATAGTACTAAAAGTTAACTTATAAAGAAGTCATAGAATATAGTTAACATTATGCTAACATTAAGAGATCTCTACTTAAGGCATGCTTCTAAGGTTTTAGAGATCATACAGTGTACTCTTTGTACAATTTGGATATGTTTCTCCTTCAGTTGTGCACATAATGTATTTTGAGAAACATCCCTTAAGGTACCAAGAATAAACATAGGGTTTGAACATAAAGGACCTGAGT